TGTGGGACTCGATCCCAGGACGCTGGGATCATGACCTGAGCCGAAGGCAGCTGCTTAACCAACTGAGCCACCCAGGCATCCCTCAATCTTAGTTTTAAGTGTATGTAGCCTACTTTATTTTTTTTTGTCATTAGTATTCGTACTCTTGCATTATCTTTTTCTTCCTGTGTTGGAGTTTCTAAATGGTAAGGTGTCAGTTGTATCTTATTTTTTGTATCTCCATTCATAGTTAAGTGCCTGACATAGTAGGTGTTCAGTAAATGCCTTATACATGTATGAATGAATATTCTGTGATGTTTTCATTTGACTGATTACACTTTGGGAATGCATATTGTAGTTAAGATGCTTTAATTTGAACTACTGTTTCAAAATGCTGTTTAAATGAAGCTGATTATGCCTTAAATTTTAAGTCTAGCATATGCTGTGCTCTGCCCTAGAGTCCAGAAAACCATATTTAAAATCTAAACATAGTTTGATTTTAAAGCAGGAGTAGGTGTTGTGTAAATAAAGGTAGGATAAAAAAATGCTTAGGAATATAGTGGAACATATCGGTAGAAGGGTAGAAAAATGACTTGGCTTTATCTGTTTCTAATAATTTTTTCTCCTTTGTAAGAGAGAAGTAGTTGCAGTTTTAAATGCAACAAGATTGCTTTTAACTTTGTCTCATCTTCAGTTATTTATATTCCTTTTTGAGGAGAGAAATCTTCTTATTTATACCTTTCTCTCTTAGTTTATTTTTATTTTACTTATCTAGTTGCTTGTTTTGAGTTCTTTTGCTGGCAGCAGAGGTGGCCAGGCAGCAATGTTTTATACAAAGAAGCTGAACACAAGATATGAACAGTTCTTTGATTTTTATATAGTTTTTTCCTTAAAACTAAGAACCTTTATTCAAGTCTTGTAAATCAGATAATTATTATGCTATTCCATATATAGTAAGCTTTTTAGCTTAGACCTAGTTTTGATTCATTTGAAACGATATAAAGGGGGCATTCTGGTACTGAAGTGGCTTATGGTCATCTTTTTTCTGACCTGTTACATGCGAACTATACTATTTGGGACTTTTTAGAAGTTTATTTTTGGATGAAAAATGACATGTTAGATTTGCTAGTTTTCTAGCATTGCCATGGTAGCACTCCTGGCTATTTTTAGAAAGTAAACAATTCTTAGGAATTGAAATTGGGCAAGACTTGTAGTTTTTCTTTTTTGCTTTTATGTAGTTACCCTCTTACAGATAGGGGTGACAGATGAACCAACTGTTAGTTGATTTACTCTCCATCACAAAGAATTAGCTTAAATTAGCTGGAGAACTGTACATGGAATATAAATCTTCAGTGTTCTGTTAATCTAGGTAACTTTTTTCTTTTAAGAGAAAATAATATTTATTCATTTAGTAATGTTGTGACCATATTAGTCAAATGGAAAATATTATTGTAAGTATAGGTGAAATTTATTTTGTCTGAAGCCATATTAGTTCATCTCAGTTATTTAAAATTAACTGAGTTAGAATATTCCAACTTTACTGTGGTAAAGGCTCTGAGCAGACCTTTTTGATTTGCTAACTTTTCTCCCTTCTAAGGAATTTTAGAGATTTAAGTAAGTCTTGT